TCAAGCAGCAATATTTTCCATTTATCAACTAATAGTACAAATGAGGTCCTAAGCAGTTGAAAGGCTTAGATATAAAAGAAATAATCAATAGCTTTTTTAACCCTCAAATTAAAAGCTTAGCTTTTAAAAACTTTAGTTTCATGGTTTAGAGGTAGGAATTATTTTTTCTTCTTTTTGATAAGGTTGGTTTCAGAAGTTGGAATACTATTGATTACCTGAATTTGCCTCTAATAAAAAAGCCAGTAAATCCAAAACCATATAGAGTCGTGGAGAAGGAATCAAAGGGGTTTTCTTACTGAATTTACCTGATTTCACTTCTAGCAACTGGTCTTTGCAGTTCGGCTGCAGCTTGCAGTTCTTTGAGAGAAATGGTGCTTCCCTGTTGGACAAATTCTAGAAAAAAGAGAGGTTTATTCGGGAAGTTTTTAGAAATCAGGTGGCTCTTATGGAAAAGTTAAAAAGGAAATAAAGGTACATAATCTTGAACTAATTTTTGGAGGAAGTTTCTTTATAGATATATTCAAGTCTTCTTCAGCCCTTTTTCCTAAATGTTACTAATTTGCAAAAACACATAATAGAATAGGCCAAGATCACCAATTGGTGATAATCCTTATGTTCTTCATGCATCAACTCGCTTAAATAACCTGACTAATGATCACACTGAGATATAGTGAAGAATTTAATTAGCACTCTCTTGATTCAATGACTTATTTTCGTTGGATAGGACAGAAATATATTCTAAAAGTTTTGTTCATTGCAAATTATTCAGAAAGAAATCAATAAATATGGATGAAAACATAAGGCACAGATCAAAGCTAAAGGACTATATGCGATCAACCTTGGTTTCTTTTTTCTTTATTAGTGCTCGCTTTTTCCCTCCCCCATATGTTTCTGTCCTCGAGAACTTTTGTTAAATCTATTCCCAAAATATAACTCATACCAAGACTTGTTTTACCATGTATATATACCTTGACCACAAATTGAGAATATTTTAATTTCCTCCTTTCAATGGAAGGTTTAAGAATGCATCACATGCATATGTTCCTTCACTAACATCGCTTCTCAGGCCTTTAACAGGTAATTAGGCCTTTTTCCTTTTAGTTCTCTGTTGTCATTTTTAAACCTAGTAGTATGTTAAGTCAGTGGTCTAGAGAAAAGACATTGGAGAGAAAATATAGCAACTTGAGGAGACGTATTAAGGAATAATGGTTCAGAAAATAGAAACCAGTTAAATAAATCTATTTGGGAATATATTCAACTATAAAGGCAGAAGTTCCTATTTTAAATCAGAAGACAAAGGGAATTTGTTAACAACTCTAACACAACTTTCTTTCAGAATATCAGAAAGAACCAGAGCAGGAAACTAAACATCCATAAAATTAAGAGTGAGCAAGATGCTTGGTTAGAAGTAAAGGGAGAATTTAAAAACCATTTGTGACTCTCTACCAACTGCTATTTACTCAAGAACATGAAGTTGGAGATTTGACTACCTTAAAGGTTATTACTAACTTTATAGCTCGAGAATTGAAATAGTAATCAAGATGAAACTTCGGTTGTTTGTATGGAATTAGGCTGTTTGTATGGAATTAACCAGTGTTTGAAAAAAGCTTATTCTCATATCGTTCTTGAATCAGACTTATTAATATCTGAAAAGTGCGTTGGAAATTGTATGCTACTTTATAACTAATTAGAAGGAAGCTGGATTCGTCTCATTACTAAAGGTTATGAAAGACAAAGTCAAAAGCGACAGAGTCAGATAGCATATATAATTGCTTTAACGAAAAAAGAGGTCACCAAAGCATCATTATATTCTCATGAATCATAAACTTCCAATAAAAACAAGACCTCCAGTCTTTTATGTACTCATAATACTGATTGCAAAAAACTGCACTATTGGACTAAAAGAAAATCTATTTAAGCTGGTTTAAACAAAGTTTAATTATATACATAGAAGATAAATAAATTTACCTCTTCATCATGTAACATAAGATTCTGAAATTTTATCTTTTCTCTCGTGACTTACTCGTTCTCAACTTCTGTTTAGAACTTAAACTTTGCATGTCCAATTAGGTGTAGAAGGTATTATTTGATTAATGTTGCTATCTTGTGCCATGATGTTTTGATACTTATGAATATATAAGGCTAACAAAGCAGAAATTATTTATTATGAAACGGAAAAAAATCCTAACCCAATATGTAGAAGTTCCTTCATACTGAATAATCATATACATTGGTTAAAATGTCCAACTAAGTAAATGCAGTATTTTCTGAATTACAAATGTTCCAAAAAAGGGATAAAATTCATATTTTGCAGAAAAGAAAGGAAGGAGAAAGAAAGACTCTAAATTAACTCGAAAGATGCCACCTTTATAGTAACAAATAACATCATTCGCAACATTGACTCGCAAAAACGCTTAGATTACATCTGAATGATAAGAAATTAGTGAAATAATAGTGAAATTGAATGAATACAGAATGTAAAGGAAGCTTCATCGAAGCAGCTACTAATCAATTCATGAGTTAGCAAATGTAATGTGTGTACAAGCATCTTTTTCCTTTTATTTTAATTCAAATCATTAAGGCAACGTTTCCAATATAACCAAAAAAAAGGAGCGATCAAGTGATGAACGAATTAGATAATTCCAGGATATATTCAGGTAATAACACAAAGTTTTCTTTTAATCCCCAACTTCGGTTCCAAAAAAAAAAAGTTATTCACCTTTATTTGATCCGGGAAATTAATTATATACCGCAATAGAAAACTCATTAGAAACAATGAACCAACAACAATAGCACCATCTATTCATGACTTTGAAAAAAAAATCACATGCATATTAAAAGAGGAAGAATAGGAGACCTTGAATAGATACAAAAGGAAAGGAATATCACCGCAAAGTATGGAATGCCGACGGAATAAAGCCAAGCCAACTCTGAGAGACATCCTGCAAAAAAGAGTAGAAATCCATCATTAGATCATCTAACATTTCTATATGAAGCCAAGCCAGTGATTCAGTACCTCCAAAGTTAATACAATAAACACTCTCCTTTTTCAAAGGAGGAAACTTCTGAATGATGTAGGACATCCTTTGCCACTTTTGAGTAGTGATGCTTCATCACAACTTTGTGTTGGCATCTTTACAACATTTTGAATAAAACACATAACTTAGAGAATAATCTAGGGTTTGAAATTCAGATTGGCCCGTTTTTGGTTTGTAATTTTCTCGACAAATTGGTGCTCCAACAGAGAGGAGAAGGGAAAGAGAGAGGGATAGAAGGAAAGAGAGAGGAGATACAGTGAAGACAGGAAACTGAGAAGTGAGACCCAAATAGTATTGTTTTGCATAATAAGGTGATACGCGTCGTTTCCTCAAGACATACCAGTACACGTCTTGAGAGAAGAAAGACAAAAATTCAATAACCAATGAAATGGGTCCAAGTCTATAGTACAATTAACAAAACTTCTTGTACAGCTGATTATAGCTGTGTTCGTACACCCCTTCCCACTTATATATAGTAGCCTAGGCCCGTTTTGCATTACAAAAACTAATTAATTGTAACATCTTAGAGGATCGTTTTTGTTTTATGGGCGTGCCTATTTTAAAAGCACATTTTAAGTGCTGAACCTGATTTAAAAAATAAATAATTATGTGTTTGGATAAAAGTATTAAAATTAATAATAAGCAGTAGTTACGTATTTGGATAAAAATACTGAAATTAATAATAAGCAGTTGAAGAACTGGGTATACGAAGAATTTTATTTAAAAAAAAAGGTATTTTAGGGATAGAATAATAAATATTTTGATCGAACCTAAAGTGCTTATAAGCTGAAATTTGATAAGTTGGGGGAGACCAACTTATGGCTTTTGGCTTATAAGCACTTTTAATTTTACCAAACGCTTAGATAAGCCAAAAAGTGCTTATAAGCCAGTTTGACCAGCTTATAAGCTTAGCCAAATACTTTCTTAGTATGTGCTAGTGATGTGTTACAAGATTTAGAAGGTGTTTGGATTGGCTCAAAAGCTGATCAAATCAGCTTATAAGCACATTTTGCCTTGTTTAAGTGTTTGGCAAACCTAAAAATAGCTTTTAAACCAATTGCTTTTAAGCTGAATTAAGCCAAAAGCCACAAGTTGGGGATACCCAACTTATTGCTTTTTGGCTTAAAAGCTTTTTATGTTTGACCAAATAATTGACCTTATTATCCCTGATGTTTTATGTAAATTCCAGAATACCCTTACTTTACTAATTAAGTCATAACGTCATTTTTTTCACGTCTTCCATTTTAACATTGTAGTTATCTTTCTTCACATTATTATAACTTTTTTTCCTTCGTATTAGACCTATCTCATCTTTTCCAGTATTTTTGAACGGTACATATGATAGGATTAAAGTTGTGACTTAGAAAATAAGAATAGAAAGTTTTATTACAATCTGCAATATAATAAATTAGGTAGGTTTGTTTTGTCTGTGATAAGCAATTAATAAGACCCTTAATTACACTCAATATTCATAACAGTAACATGTTGCAATTCTATTGGCATATGGTTCATTTTTATTAAAAATAATCTTATCTAATTAATTTGATATAAAGTTAAATAAGACATAAATTAATCCGGATTTGAGTTAATTTTACATTAAGGATATTGTGGTAATAAGCTCATTTTTAGTGTTAACAGCTTTAAGGATATTTCAATCATTTTAACAGAAAAGGTGCTTACCATCAATTGTTTTCAGCTTCAGCACTTTTATCCAAACACGTAACTACTTATTTAAAAAATAAACTCCAACACTTAAAAAAATGCTTTTAAACACTTTGTGCCAAACGGGCTCTTAGTTGTCCAGATAATGACCAATTTTGCCACAGACTTGAGATGCCTACAGCCCTAAACTGCCGCACAAGGACATAAGTTCGGTTAGCGCCACATTATAACTATATTGGAATTTATAAGTATAGCAATACTATGGAGTTCTAAATATTCGAACCAAAAAAGATAAGGAAATTAACGATCAACCATATGTCCATACCATACTCAAATTTGCCTCAAGTCCCATGTTTACTCATATGAAGTGTCAACATATATATTACAACTCCTACCAAGAACTAAAACAACTGAAACTACGCAAATTGGAAGAAACTAGCAGTTTCCAACATTCAAAAAGAACACAGGAAAAGTTTCTTCCTTAAGTAAGATGTCTGGAGCTTTAGAAAAAATAGGGGCCCCTTTAAAGCGTTTCGCCACTTACATAACTCCTGGTAAGTCCAAAGAACTGCCAGGATTCAACTGTTTTACCTTTTTTCCTACACAAAATAGTGTTCTTGAGTCTTGAGCTCTTGGAGCTGATAGTCCTCTGCCAACACTATCATATGAAAGAAATTACTGATCAGCTAGTAGACGCAAAAGTAGACGTAGTTGGTCTTTACTCATGCCTACAATACAAGCTTTTTGTCAAAACTTAGCCGGATCTGGTCAGGCCAAATAACATAAGATGACCGAGCTGTAATGTCTTTGAGGGAAGCATAAGCACTAGGATACAGAGTATCGCCAATCAACCCACTTCATTGTTCCACTTCAAGAAAGGTTTGAGCAGAGTCAAGAATGCACCGTCTATCCGCTAAAAGTAGGCACATCACAACCCGAGGAACCTGAAATATGCCATAACATCCCACCCGAATGCTGTCTTGTGTCGGTGACTTCTGTCAAGTCCAAAGATGAGCCTCCAGAAGCACCAAAATCTATGTTGCTGAACAATAGGTTGGCAACAGTTCTGTCAATTACATTCGTCTGCAGTTCTATTGCCTCTTCTTTGTTTAACCTGGTTTTGTTTTTTCAATATGAGAAAAGATGTTGACTTTAATTCCAGAAATACAATACTTCCCAATCTAGTTTTTATCTAAAGGCGAAAAATTTCATGCTGCATTTCTCCTTTGGGTTTTCAAGGTGTGTATTTTCAGCTTCAAATGAACTTCTACAGTCACTCTTTCTTTTATTTTGTCCATTTCCAATGGCACCAGTGAAATTTTGAGCATAGAAAGTACAAGAAGTAACGAAGCTTTTACGAAATCAAGGTATAATTTCCTCTAACAATCTCAACCAGGCAAAGCAGATAGAAACATATGCATAATAGTCTCTCTAATCATGAACCACAACATCATGTGTAACAACTGACTAACAAGCTCAAAATTCTAATCTATTTCAGTAATTAAAACAATTAATGAGCATGCGCACTCACCACCTAGAACTTTGATCTGACTGAACATTCCAATTCTGACATTCATCATGTTTTGAATTATCTGCAAGACGGTATAGAGAATCCCGGAAGCAGATTCTGGTTTCCTCAGTCAACTGGTAGTATCAAGATAAGTACAAATTCAGTAAGGTCATGTTGCTGCTAATATTACAGTGGTAAGCCCAAAACTTAAAGCCTTCATTACCTGAGATGTGAGACTTTCAAGGTGCTGTAGGACAGATTGCTCCGTGGATATTTCCTCGTCACTCACTCTACTATCTCCTCTATCATGCTCCAATTTCACAGCAACCTCTGCAGTTGGTGCCTAGAGCATAAAATTTAATGATTTAGACTTCGTAACCAGATCAACTAAGCAGCGCACTTAAATTAATTGGAATGAAAGTACCTCGACATAAATGAGAATAAACGTGTATGCACATGTTAATTTCTACTAATTACCATGAGATGAAGATCCAAAAATGTGTAAATAACTTCCTAGAGGCTTTATGATGTCTTCCCATAAAACCAAAACTTAGAAACAAGAAGTTACCTCCCTCCATTTCTGCTCCTACACCTGACCTAGCCCTCACAACATAAAATAGGGAAAACAAAAACTTCAAAAAAAAGAAGGCCACAAATCAAACGTATAAGACCATTTGAGTTCAATAACAGTTGTTGCTTGATTGTACTTAATTTGACTGTTCTATCACAGCACTGAAAGCAAAAGCTTAAAAAATCATCACTTGTTCACACTGACACAAAAAGATTTAGGCCCAAAAGCAAACCCTAACATGAAAATTAATATGCTTAATTGAAATGTTAAAACTGGGAAGTGGCAACGCAAAGCACAAAAATCCAATTCATTAGCAACAGACAGCTCTTAAACTAACAAAGAAAGGATCCAGATTTGAAGAAAAAGATAAAAACGATAATGAGATAGATGGATTCAACCCAACAACTTCCTATAGTTTTTCTTTTTTCCTTTATGAAATTCTCATACTGAACTAACGCACTGGAAACGCCGAAATTATAACAGAACAATGCACAATGCAACACTAGCCTGCCTTAAATATTTTAGGCCATGGCATCTGTCTCAAGTTGGTCACATTAGTTTCTGTGATAACAAATGATAGTTCAGTTAATACTTGAAACCAATTACCAGCAAATACGTTCAAAACATTTTTCTGTCAACATTATCCAAATATATATGTCACCCACAAGCATGAAGTTTGCTACACTAAGCCATCTTTATGCGGGGACGGACCTCCATAGCTCAGAAAGAGGGGAAGCTGCTCCAAGCTCAGTTCCCAGGAAAGAGAAAATTCAAATTTGTGTTCTTCTAGAGATTTTTAAGATGTTATGATTTTTTACCTTCAAATTTTAGTTCAACCCTCAAAAATGATGCAAGGTTCGCCCCTGCTTGAATGCAAGTCAAATATTCCCAATATTTCCTTCCACTGAAAAGCATGAGACGTAACCTGGATTGTTCCCTGCATCTGCCTCAATGCAAAACTAAAAACTCCATGTGAGCCAAAAGATACTTTTTCATGTAAGACATCACAACGAACTGAAGCTCACTATAAATACTTCGACCCATTAGATTATCGGCTGGTCCAGCTAGATAGTCATAGATCTCACATGACATAAATTTAGATGCAGAGACGTCTTAAGTTCTTCTGGGGTTGATGATTCAACTCCAGCTTCACATGCTACACGAAAATTCATGCTCTTCAGAAACAAAAACGAAGAAAAGCATCACCTTTTCCAGCAAATAAGAATTGTTAACTTCTTGATGACTCTCCCAATCCATTGGCGAAGTAAAAGCATGTGCAGTGTAATATTTGGCACTCTCGGCACTACAAGCGTTGCTTGTCACATGATCTGGATTTGAATATTCATCTCCTACTTGGTTATCAGCCAGCAGCACGCTGCACTGAGAATTTGTTGATAAATCAGATGACTCATCACAAGCATCCATTCCAGTTGGACATTCTTCGAGTAAGGAACTTCTGCATAATAGAGTATAAGAACTTAATCAGCCATTTGAAAGAAATGAGAAACAAATATCTAAGCCTGCTATGGCATACCAACTACCCGGATTCTCCCATTCAATTCCACATCTATAGATCAAAATAATAAAATAATAGTTAGAGATTTACAAGAAGACATCATCCAACTGATCTATCGAGGCCAAGTTATCAAGATGAAATTCCAGCTGGTCAGGTGGATATGAGGACCATTGGTCCATATCACAATATGAATCTTGGCTATCCAAATTATCAAAAGCCTCCTCCTGAACTCCAAAGTTTCTCATGTCAACACCGCTCCTGGCCACTTTATTACAATCTTCAGATCCAACGTTCGACCTTATATTGTTCCTTTTCATTTCTGACTTGAAATTCCCATATGGTGTTGAGTCCCACTGTGACCAGCTGTCAGGAGATGGTGGACAACCATCTTCTGAGCCTTTAGGAACAACAAGATCACCACCATCAACTCGAGAAAACCACTCCATAAGACCAACCTGATAAAATAGCAATCAAATGTTAATATGCAGATTTTTGTAGCAGCTACAAAGATTTGAGAAATCAAGATAGCACATCACTGAGAAAGCTTAGTAACCCCCAAGCTTGATAGAAGTTACTCATCTCATTTCTCAGCTTCAGATAAGTGCAAGTTCAAGACACACAAAGTCATTGAAATAAATCTTAACACAGCTGAACACAAATATAATCAACTTATTTCCCGCACCTATTTGTCATTTCCCAATACACATATAGAGACTCTCATCTCAATTACCACCACCAACAACAACAACAAAAAGTCCAGTGTAATCCCACAAATGAGATCTGGAAGGAAGGGTAGTGCGTATGCAGACCTTACCCGGCAGAGAGGGCTGTTTCCATTACACATAAAAACTCACCTCAAAAAAAAAAAAAAACAACACTCATCTCAGATTTCAATTACAAGTTATTGTAGATTATAAGACCTTGACCACCATTCAAAGATACAAATCAGAAAAAAAAAGTTTTAAAAGTAGAGACAGTTAAACGGATGTTAGTAACATTTAACCAGCTTAGATTTCAGAAAAGAACAAAGATAATAATTTGCAAGAATTGGAACTGCTCATGAAGTTCTAATAACAGCAAAAAAGATGAAAGGAAACAGAATTGATCAACTTATTTCAACCAAAAATTTTGATAGGACAAGCTTATAAGCAGATCAAAAGCCAAAGTCAAAAGTCTTACTTGACAAAAAAACCTAAAAAAAATACTCAAATTTTATGAAGAAAATACAAACACAAAAACTGGACAAACTTCAAAAATAATCAGTAGCATATGTATTTTGCAAATTTCTTCCATAAGTTCCATTTCTCCATCTGTAATTGAAATAACTAAACTACAATTCACTAAAAACCTGCTCAAGAACCACCCTCAACAACACAACAAAGCATATTGACCTACTCAAACTGCAAATTCACATAGTATAAACTTTGAAAACAACGAAAACAGCTTACCTCTTAGGAAATTACAAGAAAAAAGGAGGAAGAAAACTTTCACAAAATAGCACAAGAAATGGAGGAAAGCAAGGCCGAAGTAAAGATAGAATTCTGTTTAGCTTTGAGTGTAATAAATATTTTTCTGTATGTATTCGCAATGTTAGCAGCAATTCAACAACTTTAGGAAACAGAGGCGGTAGTGGTATTGTAAATTGCAATGGCTATAAATTTATCTGACCTTTTATATATATATATATATATATATTGTTAAGAGTGATTTTTCTTTCTTTGTGTCCATGAAAATGAAAGATTGTTTATTTGTTTTACAGCTAAGAGTTGTAAAGACGAATATAGCCTTCCATAAGCATAAATTCCTCGAATCTAACTTCCTCACATAGCCACACAAACCAACTTGAGCAAGTTGGTGTTAAAGGGCAAAATTGGAAGAACGTGACACGTGGACCAATAAGTTATCAGATTTAGATGGAAGAATATGAGCCTCAAATTGTAAAGCAAATGATTGTGAGCCACAAACCAAAGAGGCGTAGATTACATTATTGGTTCTTTGGTTGCGTGGCGAAGGAAAGGAAGGCCCACGTAATCAACCGTGTACACGTGTCAACAAATAGAAGCACAGCCAGGAATAGTTGGAATAATACAAGCTTGCCCAATCACGTGATGCTCAATGGAAAAAAGTAAGGCAGGGGTGTTCGTCTTTGGTCATTTCGGCTTCCGATTTCCACTTATTTATTCAGCTTCAATATTAACTACGTGGATAGCAGGGGCGACTCTAAAGGCTTTGTAAAAATTTGTATAGGGTACTCACTTTTTAAAGTGGTATTTATTTTTTATCCAGCATTTTCAATGCTTACCAATTGTAGTTACTGGTCTATTAAAATTAAAATAAAAAGACTGTGTTATCCTTTCTTCTATCTCTTTCATGTTTGGGAGAAGAACTGTGCCGCCGTTTGTGAGAAGGCGACTGCCGTGGACTCCCTAAATTATGCTTTTATCATGAGAAAACAAAGTGCAATGAAGAATCAGTTTTAAAATCGATGAAGAAAGGTTGCATAGGCTTGAGGAAGGAGTAGACTTGCCCATTATACAGTCACATTCACTCTATTCGATTCTTCATCACCCTGCACATTAAAAAGATGTCAAAAAGTCCAAAAATATACTCACGAAAAGTCAATAAAATAAATAACCAGCATATGAGATAACGTTTAATTTTCTGCTACGTTATGGATCCTGAACTTACAGTTACAAGTTCAAAAGTTAAGGACACGGTTCTGAATTTCAAGTTCCAAGTTCAAAAGTTAAGGACACTTGGTCCTGAACTTAGACTAACAAGCTCAAAAGTTAAGGACAATAGGTCCTGAACTTACAGTTATAAGTTCAAAAGTTAAGGACAATAGGTCCTGAAGTCCTGAGCTTAGACTAACAAGCTCAAAAGTTAAGGACAATAGGTCCTGAAGTCCTGAACTTAGACTAACAAGCTCAAAAGTTAAGGACAATAGGTCCAGAAGTCCTGAGCTTAGACTAACAAGCTCAAAAGTTAAGGACAATAGGTCCTGAACTTACAGTTACAAGTTCAAAAGTTAAGGACACTTGGTCCTGAACTTAGACTAACAAGCTCAAAAGTTAAGGACAATAGGTCCTGAACTTAGGCTTACAAGTTCAAAAGTTAAGGACAAGTAGTCCTTAACTTAGAGTTACAAGCACAAAACTTAAGGACATGTGGTCTTGAACTTCGAGTTCCAAGTTCAAAAGTTAAGGACATGTAGTCCTGAAGTCCTGAACTTAGAGTTTTAAGTTCAAAAGTTAAGGACACGTAGTCCTGAAGTCCTGAACTTAGAGTTGCAAGTTCAAATGTTAAAGACACTTGGTCCTGAACTTTTATGAGCAGAAGGGTATTTTCGTCTGGGCAGGTAAAGTTTATTAAAGCAGTGATTAAAGACTAAAGACATTTTAAACAGAGGCTTAAAAGTAAATATATGTGTTATTAGTGGCTAACCGTGCACGTTTCCCAAAGGCTTGGCCTTAGGCCCGTTAATTTGGAGGCCCTAAATTTACTTTAAACTCTTATCGTTTAAAATGATCAGGAGTAAATATTTTTAACAACGTCAATGCTCGAAACTTAGGTTATTATGTTATGTACGATTATTTCTTTTTCTTGATTGTGTTGATAGCCAAATCAATATTTTTACTTTGAGTTCTGGACCTCAACATCCGATAATCCACCACTTTATTTTTTGTGCTCTACTTTCTAGTTTTTTCTTTTAAATTCACTATTTTTTGTCTTAAATGATTAATTTGTTATTTAGAAAGCAATTTTTGTTATTAGTATAAAAAATTTATAGAATAGATTTAAGGGCCTCTTAATATGAATTCGCCTTAATCCACAAAATCCGTTGAGCCGCCCCTGGTGCATAGCGCCATAGACTATAACCTTTTTAAATTAAAGTACACAATGAAAACTTTCTAAACTCATCTCAGTTGACAAGATAAAATATTTGTCCAAAATCATCAAATATCAACTGAGAGAAGAAAAAAAAGTACATTAAATCACGGGAAATATCATGTTACTTACTTAGAGTTAATTGTTGAAATTAGAGAATACAACAAGGACTAATCCAACATATGCAACAATAATACAAGAGTAACGGAGTAAGAAACACTCCAAAGCCGTTAAAATATTATGTTAAACTGCTTGGCAACATAGAGAGTAAGAATTAGAATATGCATCCTATATTATTCCTCCATTTTCCTAAAGAAGTACATGGGCTTTACTGCCAACCTCATCATGATTGCCAAAGAAAAGTATTATGTAACTTATTAGTATGTTAATCAATAATATCTGTAATGTGTAATTTAGTATATATTTCGGTACAGTATCGATATTTCAGTATTATTTTTTTAAATACCAGAATCCATACCTAATACCAAATTATTTTAAAAACTTAAACTAAATACCATACCAAATACCAAATTACTAAATACCATATACCAAATTTTTGATTTCGATACGATAATTCGGTATTTACCATATTATGCACATCCTTAGAAAAAGGTACGAGAAACTCGACGGTTTGTTGAATTAAGTGGCGGTTTGACTACTTATGCTACCAATATAACATGCATAAATTTGTTATCTAGTAAACAATTGTATACTCATTCTATTCCAAAAAGATTGTCCTAGTTTTACTTGATACAAATTGTAATAAAAAAACAGATAAGACTTTTAAAATATGTGACCTTAAATAAACCATAGCATTGTATGATTGTAAAACTTCTAAAACTTGTGGTGTTCAGAGGCGGAGCTAGGGTTTCAAGCTTATGGGTGCGGAATCCTAATCTTAAGTTATTGGTTCTAAATTAATAATTTATACATATTTAATGGAAAATTTAAGACAAATATATGATTTGAACCAAAGTTACTGAGTTCGGCTGAACCCGTAAATGATATTGTAGCTCTACCTCTGGTGGTATTAAATATGTCATAGTATTTATATGGATGTAAATATTTTTTACTAAGGAACTATTGAAAGGCTTCAATCTTTTTAGACTAATTAATACAAAAATATCAATCTTTTTTCGACAGGGGAGTAATTTGGACGTTTTCAGAATTGTCTTACATTATTTTATTTTTATACAACTTTTAAAATCTAAAGTCTATACTATACTAAAAGCATGAAGGTCTTTAGCGAAACATCGTTCGCCTATTTTACCTTTTAAAATATGCAGTTTACATTGGACAATATAGTAATTTGGTATTTCATTAGTATTTAGGTATAGTTATTTAATTAATATCCATACAAGTTAGGAATAATCATTTATTGTTAATAAAATTTTGCCTAAACGTTCACTACACGCTAGGAAAGTGTCTTTCTAATTCCATTTGGAGTACTAAATTTCTCCATTCTCCTTCTTAGGTTTAGGAGACTTCTTTTTGTAGTTAATAAATGCGAAAGGATTCAACTCCAATGCTTAATTATAGGTTTTCTATCATTTTCTCCAAAAAGTCAAAAATCGACCCCGGGCCCGCTTGGTCAAAACTCGAGGTTCGGACCAAAACCCGATCACCCATTCAGCCACGAGCCCGAATATGCAATTAGTTTCGAAATCTGACCCCAAAACGAGGTCTGAATTCCAATTATTCAAAAATCCCTAACTCTACCCAAATTCCCAATCTTTACCATAAAAACCCTAGATTTTTGGATGAAGATTGATGAAATGCAAAGGGAAATTGAAAGAAAAAGGTTTAGAATCACATACCAATACTTTGGGGAAGAACTTGCCTCTTAAAAATCGCCTCAATGCTCTTTAGTTTTGAAAATATGAAAATGTGGGCTAATTCCCGATTCTGCTACTGTTTTAAGGAGCTGGGCGACAGTGTTCATCGCGCTCGCGAAGAGCAGCCTCCTAAGGTCTTACGCGATCGCGAGTTCCTCCACGCGTTCGCGAAGGGTAAGCCCCTCCTGGCCTTCGCGTTCGCGGACCGCTATACGCGTTCGCGTAGAAGAAAGGGTTGATTCCCAGCCCACCCCCATTTTACTATACGCGTTCGCGAGGCATAGGTCGCGTTCGCGTAGAGCAGCCCCCCAGCGCTCCGCGTTCGTGACCCTCTCTATGCGTTCGCGTAGAACAAACCCATCCCCAGCCCAGTTTCCCTTCCGCGATCGCGAGAGTTACGACGCGATTGCGATGCATGGTGCACAGACACCAGAAGCAGCAATCATACCAGATTTTCCCAGGTCAAAAACACCTCGAAGCCTATCTGAAACTCACCCGAGTCCTCGGGGCTCCAAAACAAACATGCACACAACTCTAAAAATATCATACGGACTTGTTCGTGCGATCAAATCGCCAAAATAACATCTTAATAACGAATTTAGCATCAAAATCAATGAAAATTTCAAGAACTCTTAAAGTTTCCATTCGTCTATACATTTAGAGAAAACAACAAAGTGGCAGACCCTTTAGCAAACTTCGGCTGCGATTCTCAGTTTGACTATAGGTTTTCCTCTACAGCTGATCTCACAACCGAGGGTCCGAATCACGTCATATAAATTCTGTTTCTTACCAAATTTTACAGGCACAACTTAAATACCATAACAAATCTGTACCGGGCTCCGGAACCAAAATACGGGCCCGATACCAACAAATTCAAACATCTTTAAATTTCCATAAACTCTCATATTTTTAGTTAGACAATTTCTTTCAAAAATTCATTTCTCGGGC